AGACTTTCACTCTTTCACTTTCACGAAAAATTGGGAAAATCAGAACATGGCAAGCCAAGTCTTGCTGAGTCTGTCTGTTGAACTTATCTCTGTCTCACTGTGGGCCTGAGCTCCTTCAGGAAAAACCTGATGAAGGGTGCTGGAAACAAAGAGTCTCTCCTGAAATAATAAGCAAAGAGTAGTGAGAAGATCCCTCTGAGCCTGATGGATCCATCTGAGCCTGGCTGGAATGGAGCTGATGAGGGCAGTTAGCAAGCAGACACTTTACAAAGCTGCTGCTGCTGGGTGCACTGTGAGCCTTACCGGCCCCTTTTCAAAGAGCATCACAGAGCCTCCTTCAAAAGAGTGATTCATGCTGGCTGTAGAAAATTTCTAAGATATATTATAACCCTCCAGCCCTTTTTGTGCACATACAAAACACACTGGTAAAATGCTTGTATATACTGTTTTTCAGTTAACATATTAAGCATTTCTTTTGATCACTGAATACATCTCTAAAACGTAACAGCATTTATATAGTATCTTATTACATAAAATAGCTTCATCAAACAAGCTCCTCTTGTTAGACAGTGTTGATGTCCCAAGATTTATATTCTAATATATTTCAAGCAGAGGCAGAACTACTAGGTAAGACAGTATTCTTTTTTTTTTTAAGAAATTCAAGCATGTTGTATTTTAAAAATGATTTTAAAAGATTTTCAATCAAAAAATTAGAAATACAGAAAAACACAAATAAAAGAAACATCAATTATATTCCCACCATCATCCACACTTTGGTACACAAAGCCTTCCACTTTTTTAAAATATGTAAACAATTTGTACAGAATTAGATTACTATGCATGGCTTCATAACTGAATTTTCTCATTAAATACAAGAATTTCCTCATATCTCTACTTGTTCTTCCAGGACATGAATTTTAACGGCTTTAGTTCTCCACTGTATGGTTATGTCATTTCCACAAGGAAATAAGCACCACAAAGCCAAGTGCTTTGTGGAAAGAATAATGCACAAAAACCATTTACTGAATACATACATGAATTTATTTTTTTTCATTTATTTTTATTAGTTGGAGGCTAATTACTTTACATCATTGCAGTGGTTTTTGTCATACATTGAAATGAATTAGCCATGGATTTACATGTATTCCCCATCCCGGTCCCCCCCTCCCACCTCCCTCTCCACCCGATCCCTCTGGGTCTTCCCAGTGCACCAGGCCCGAGCACTTGTCTCATGCACCCAACCTGGGCTGGTGATCTGTTTCACCCTAGATAATATACATGTTTTGATGCTGTTCTTTTGAAACATCCCACCCTCGCCTTCTCCCAGAGTCCACAAGTCTGTTCTATACATCGGAGTCTCTTTACAGTATACTAACACATATATATGGAATTTAGAAAGATGGTAACGATAACCCTTATCGTTAGTATACTGTAATGGTCTTTATCTTTCTGGCTTACTTCACTCTGTATAATGGGCTCCAGTTTCATCCATCTCATTAGAACTGATTCAAATGAATTCTTTTTAATGGCTGAGTAATATTCCATGGTGTACATGTACCACAGCTTCCTCATCCATTCATCTGCTGATGGGCATCTAGGTTGCTTCCATGTCCTGGCTATTATAAACAGTGCTGCGATGAACATTGGGGTGTACGTGTCTCTTTCAGACCTGGTTTCCTCGGTGTGTATGCCCAGAAGTGGGATTGCTGGGTCATATGGCAGTTCTATTTCCAGCTTTTTAAGAAATCTCCACACTGTTTTCCATAGTGGCTGTACTAATTTGCATTCCCACCAACAGTGTAAGAGGGTTCCCTTTTCTCCACACCCTCTCCAGCATTTATTGCTTGTAGACTTTTGGATAGCAGCCATCCTGACTGGTGTGTAATGGTACCTCATTGTGGTTTTGATTTGCATTTCTCTGATAATGAGTGATGTTGAGCATCTTTTCATGTGTTTGTTAGCCATCTGTATGTCTTCCTTGGAGAAATGTCTGTTTAGTTCTTTGGCCCATTTTTTGATTGGGTCATTTTATTTTTCTGGAGTTGAGCTGGAGGAGTTGCTTGTATATTTTTGAGATTAATCCTTTGTCTGTTGCTTTGTTTGCTATTATTTTCTCCCAATCTGAGGGCTGTCTTTTCACCTTGCTTACAGTTTCCTTTGTTGTGCAAAAGCTTTTAAGTTTCATTAGGTCCCATTTATTTTTGCTTTTATTTCTAAAATTCTGGGATGAATACATACATGAATTTAATCAACTAACTCCTGTCTCTGGAGTTTATTTCCAACTTTCACCATTATGTTTTTACACAAAAATCTTGCAGACAGCTCTAATTACCTCCTTAGACTCAACTAGAAGTGAAATTTACTGGGTCAGGTGGTATGGATTTTAAAACATAAAATTAAGATGACCATATAATTTATCATCAAACCAGAACCCTTCTGAGAGGAAAAGGAAACATCACTGAGGACTGCCCTGACCAAACTGGGATGTAGAAGTCATTACAGGTTACATGATGCCAGAGTGAGCCTTAGAGGTTATAGCAAGTTAAATTCCCACTTGCAGAGTATTGGCATGCCAATTTCCCCAGACCTAACATTCATGACTCTTGATACAGATATCCCAGATCACACTGAAGATCTATCCATTTTTTATGTAAAATAATAAAGAAAAGAAAAATCCTCCGCTAGGTATTTTCTCGTGGTTTCAGGTCCGTCTCAAGGGGTCTGGTTTCCTTTCCAGCTGTTGGCAAACCTTTACCATAGAGGCTGGATCATATCTTTTAGATTTTGTAGGCTAGGCGGTCTGTGTTACAATTATTCACCTCTGTCATTTTAGCATGAAAGCAACCACAGGTAACCTGTAAATGAGTTAAGTGTGGCTGTATTTCAATAAAACTTTACTTATGGACAAGAATTTCATATAATTTTCATGTATCACTAATATTATTCTTCTAATCCGCCCCCTCTCATTTAAAAATGTAAACACTATTCATAGTCATAAAAAAAGCAGGAGGTAAGTTATAGTTTGTTGACCCTTGACTTGGAAAATTTCTGGTAGACAACTAAAAATTGGGTGAGAGTCATCACCAGTTTATTCCCTTTTTCTTGAGTTGTATCATTTCCTGTGTCAAAGTTGAGTTGCATTACATACATCTTCAACTACATGTGCCTCACAGAAATATACATAAAAACGAGAACTGAATTGTGCAACAGTTCTGCTCAGCCCCCTCCACCTCCCAAATGAGTTCATGGGCACAGCCTTAGAGGAAGCCTGGTTGGGCGAGGGAAATCTGCTCTCCTCTTGGCTGGCCTGTTTCTCACAGCATACGTATCTCACTCCATATTCAGTTTGAACATGCATTTTGTGTAAAATACTGTCCCTGACCAAGAGCCAACACCTTCATCTGACAATCAACTGACTAAAGAACAATCTATTCAAATGCTGAAGGGTAAGTTGCCTGCTGGATTTACTGAATGACATGTTGGTTTTCAGCATTGAAAACCATGAGTCAAACATAATGCACACAGTGTTCATATAATGTATATTATGGAAAATTTAAGAGATTTTTTTTTCTCAGTGGTAATTTTAACTATATAAAATTATCCTATTATGAACTAATTTTAGAACCTAGCTACACATAAAGGATGAATCTGTTAATTTTTATTCCTCTAAAGAAACTCACCAAAGATTACAATATAAACTCAATTATTCAACACTCAAGAAAAAAGAAGGGCAGGACAGAGAAGAAACCAAAATTTGGCAAATCGTGTCGCAAGCAGCAGGTAACAAAGCAGCTTCTGATCAGGCATCCACACAGGTAAGCTGGGGCATCTCTAAGCGTCTATACAGTAATAAAACATTGGCAACATCGTGTTCCCAGAAAGGTGCACTACATTTCCATTACTGTTTGACATAGCAACGTCCATCTAGGAAGATGGTAGTAAACATTATCTTCATTTTATGAACGAGGAAACTGAGGTCCAGAGAAGCATAAGGTAACTTAAAGGCTCAGGATATACTGAGTTGAGTAGTGGGGGTACATAGATTAAAACTCAGTGCTTCATGCATTTTCCATGCTGTCTATAATCCAAAAAAAAAAGAGTGACTAGAATGTCAAGGAATATTCTCTCCTGTGAGACAGCTACAAAGAATACTTAGGGCAGAAACAGATAGAGGGCTTCAATAGCATGAACAATACAGCAAGTGAAAATAGGAAAAAAACTAATCCCAGATACATTCACCCTCAAACACAGATACAGATCTTTAATTTAAAATTGAGTAAGTTTATTCATGGAGAAAATAGTTACAGAATACCCTTAGGATTTTTTTAGTCCAACAATTAAAATTGAATTTAAAAGCCAACGGAACTGTTTACAGACCCAAAAGACATCTGGAGAAACTACTGTTCCTCTTTCCTTGGGTTTATACGTATTTACCTTTTAGGCAAGAGAGATAGCTGGGATTAATTTCTTTTCTAGGAGATGTAATTTCCAGTTATGTGTATAGGATTGTTCTGTGAAGACCAGAGAAGTCCAAAGAATTCAACGTCGATTGGAAGAATTAAGGTAAGACTAATGGTTGGTTCATGGAACCACATTTTACCACAAATCCCTAGATAGGGTGGTGGAAGGAGAATAATATTTCCCATCAACAAAACTTGAGGTATTTAAAGATGCCATAGACATGGAAACTCACTTCTACCTCGCTCAAAGGTGATGGCGAGGCTGAAAAGGCTCTTGTGGAAGGTCATACCCTCTTGGACTTCTCTGTACTTTAGCGCCAAAACCTAACCAGGACTGGACAACGTCAAACACTTCTCTGAACAAAGTGGTTAATCAGTTTCCTCTTCAGGATGAGTTCTAAGGCAACAGTGTGATCAATGATGAGTTTTTCCCTGTCTCTGTTTTTTGGCTTGTCTTGGTGCTAAAGTCGATGGCAATACAAAACAGCACAGCCATTTGCTGTAGAACCTGCCAGAGTACAAGAACGGGCTCTCCAAGTCTCAGCAGTCAGGGCTGAACCTCGCTCGTTTGACGTGGCTACTGTCATCATCCAGATGGCAGGAACCTTCCGCGGTGATGTCTCTTTTATTCTCCTCCGTGGGTTCCAAAGGGAAGTCCTGACCCACGGCCAGCACCTGCCGGACAGTCATGTTAACGCGAGCAGTTTTCAAGTAGCTGGCGCACACCTGCCAGTCCTCCACAGAACAGGGCTCCACCACTGAGTCTCTGGGCAGGTCAGCTGGGAGAGGCGTCCCGAGGCAGCCAGGCAGGCTGTCCCCTTCTGCACTGGGAAGGACCCTAGGGACTGCATGGTTCAGCAGGCGGCTGAAACCTGACATTACCATGATGTCACCACTGTGCATAAACATGGGGGTGGGGGCTTCGTCTCTTTTGAGGCCACCCAGGAGAAAGATGGCAGACTGTCCGAAGCTACGAAAAAGAAAAACACCACACAATAGTAAGTTTCTGTTATTAGCCACGGTTGGGAGAGTTAACTGCCAACTGCACTTGTTTTCTAATTTCGGCTTGATACTTACTGCTACCAAATACTCCTTTTGGGATGGGGGTGTGTGTGTGCTGTGTGGCTCATGGGGTCTTAATTCCCCAATCAGGGATGGAGATTAGGCCCATGGCAGTGAAAGCACCAAGCCTTAACCAGTGGAGTGCGAGGGAAGTCCCAATCCTCCTTTTTAAACTGTGCTAAGATCCTTCTTTTCTGGTTTGTGTCTGTGAGTGATTAGTCCATGGTCTGCTACTTAAACTTATTAGAGCCCACAGAACTGCTGCAAAATAGATTTTGAAGCAATTAAATAAGCAAATAAAAATTTATTTGGGTTTTTTTTTTTTTTTTACTAGATATTTATCACTTCTGTTCACTTTAAAGATAAGGCAGTTAATAAAGATTCTCTTGAGGCACTTTCCTGTGAAGATACAGGTGCAGTACTCTGGAAAAATATAAACTTACATTCAGGGAGACAAAGAGTAAACTACTTGGACTTCTGTGCTTTCCTCTTCTCTATTTCAAATAGATCACTCCCTTGCCTTATGTCCTTTACCACTCATCTATTCCACAGACACTGACAATAACTCTAATTATGAAAGACAGAATCCATGCATCTTAAACAGAAATATTAATCGTAACTTGGTCATTACCCAAAAGGGCGATGTTAATTTTACTTATGGTACACTGCGAAGATGCCCAGAAGTGAAAGATTATTGAGTTCACCCATTTAAAAAATTTAATGTTTTTATTTATTTAAGCTTAAAAATGCTTTATAAAAAGGAATGAAATGATAAAAAGTAATCCAAAATCCCTAGACGCAACTCACCTGAAAGACAGCAGGGGTCTGGAGTGATCTAGCTCAGACCTGTCTGCGTGGATGCCCAGTGTGGAGTGTAGCCGGTAGTAGTTCAGGATGCCTGCTTCAGCTCGGAAACCCTGAAACCCACAGGCGGCAGCCACTTGCTCTGAGAGGAAAGCCAGGTCAGAAGGGAAAGGCGTGTAATGACCTGCTGAGTACCTCTTTGATAAAAGCAGGGAAGATAAGAAAAATAAACAATGATCTCAGGGAAAGAGGAGACTGGCGTAAGATTAACCACCACTTTAAAACCATTTAGTTTACAGGCAGTGTACTGACCGACAGACTGACAACGTTCTGTCAGTTTCTGCAGTACAACAAAGTGACTCAGACACACGCGTGCATGCTTCTTTCTCACATTCTTCTCCGTTACAGTTTATCACCAGGTACCGAGTATAGTGCCCTGTGCTGTCAGGACCTGCTGTTGGTTCATCCGTTCTGTTCACAACAGCGTGCACCCACTAACCCCGAGCTCCCAATCCCTCCTCCCCACCCCTCTCTCTAGGCAACCACAAGTCTGTTCTCTACCACAGGTAATATTAATACAGCCCTCAAAAATTTTTTAATTGGAGTATAGCTGATTTACAACTTTATATTAGTTTCAGATATACAACACAGTGATTCAAAACTTTTACAGATTATACTCCATTTATAGTTATTATAAAGTATTGGCTATATTCCATGTGTTGTGTAATATATCCTTGTAGCCTATTTCTTTTATACATAAAGCTTTTTATATACAAAAATAAAAGTCTGTCTTCTTAATAGCCACACATTTTTGAGGGATCCAGTAATCTAATATTGAGCCAGTTCAAAACACTGAGCACCTATGATATGGTGGCACCGTGCTAAAAGGTGATAAATCCGACACATTCACCCTGCACGTAGTCAACATACAAAGCAGTCACACCTCTCTCTGAAAGTCACTTAGTCGTGTCTAACTCTGCAACCTCATAGATTATACAGTCCATGGAATTCTCCAGGACACAATGCTGGAGTGGGTAGCCTTTTCCTTCTCCAGGGGATCTTCCCAAACCAGGGATTGATCCCAGGTCTCCCACATTGCAGGTAGATTCTTTACCAGCTGAGCCACAAGGGAAGCCCAAGAATACTGGAGTGGGTAGCCTTTCCCTTCTCCTGCAGATGTTCCCGACCCAGGAATCGAACTGGAGTCTCCTGCATTGCAGGCGGATTCCTTATCAGCGGAGCTACCAGGGAAGCCCACTCTAATTCCAAACATGAGAGTTCTCTTACAGTAAAAAGGCAAGTCAGAACTCTGTCACTGCCAAGAGGTGCCTATGGAAACATGCCAACTAAATGTAATGTATCCTGGATGGGATCCTGGGACAGAAGGCAGAAAGTTTATCAATTAAAAACTAGTCTGCAACGTAGCTTCATGTGATTTCACTGGTCAATCTGATGGGCTGACATGCTCAAAACATTTAAACTGACTTACACTGTGGTCAAGTCAGGACCTTAAAATGCAAGTAATTTTCACCACTTACCTTCCTGAACTGCCTCTATTTTCTGTACCTAAGGGTCACAATTGTTTAAGGCCAGAACACTCTCTATACAAAACACACACAATCTGAGAACAAGGCAGCAGACAGGTCTGAGGGCCATGTAAGCCAGCAGCATCTGACACCCTTCCTTGGTCTGATGCTCCTCTCTCAGTCCTCCTGTTATTCAGTAAACCTCAGATCTGATTAGAAAAATCAGAGTTTTCTGAAAAGTCTCTAATGGATGGCCAAGCCTCTTCAGTTGGAATCTGTTTTCATTTTTTCTTCTCTTTTTTCCTGTACTACAAATAAGAGCTCCTATTTATTTCTCAAAATTATGAGTGTAGTTAGAGAAGGTTTTCTCTACCATTTTGTTTTAGTCCTTTAAAAGACCAACGACTTACAGCACTTGATCGTCTCTGCTATAACAAAACAATTACCTTTTTGGGCTTTTATCCCTATCCAAATTCCCTATGCACTACACTTGTTTCTTGATTCTATCTTACTTTTCTCTGATTAGCCATTCAGTGTTTTTTGACTAATTTCACACCAAGCTTTTCTTAGTAAGTGAGGCTAACTTTGAGGTCCTTGGAAAATAACAGTATCTACAATAAAAGTAGTACCTTAAAAACCAGTAAGCCAACATTTACTGTGTTAATGCAGTAACTGCTCAGAACAGTCAGGCACTACTGTAATCACTATAAAGGCATTAATCATTTAATCCTCACAATCATCTGGTGAGGTTAGACACTATTCATATTGAAGGCAGGATTCAAATCCAGGCTGGCTAACCAGAAGAAAACCACATGGCCATTTCCCCAAATACAGATGTCTGGTTTTCCAGTAAAGCTGTATCACTGAAAATAAGACATATCATGAATAGTTCTGAGCAACAATTATTACTATTCTGAGTAGTTAATACATTTATTAATAAGCTGGATTGACTGAAAACTATAGAGCTTTTAAAAAGTAACTGGTTAGCAGGAAGATGGTTCATGCCAATTTGATTCAGTTTATCCTCAGAATTAAGTCCTTTTGGTGGCAAACACCTCACTGAGAAAAGTGGCATTAAGATGTCAGCGATAAAGAGGCATTTTCTGAAGCCCAAGGGTCAGGAAAGAAGAAACTGTACCTCAAGAAAACATGGAACTTTAACTGTAGACATTTTTCCCATCTCTCTCCTGCACAGACCTTATATAGCAGTCAAAGGAATCTAGATCTTGAAAGTTCTTTTGTGAGTTGATAGAAGAGAACACTGTAAGTACACGGAGCTTCTTTCACTCCAGGCACACATTATGTAGAAAATAAATAATCAACAAACACTAAATAACAATGGAACTAAAGATTATAATTGAAAACTCCTCATGAATACAGGAAAGAAAAATCTGTATCCCTGAAACCTCCCCAGAGAAAGCATCAATGACTTCTGATGAAATGATATAATCTGAGAGCACATGAAAAAGTACTTTTCTCTTGATAAATTATTCATTTCTCTTCACAGTCTGTATTAAAAGGATTTTAAAGACGGGAATATATTAAAGAAACCCTCCCGCAAATGAATAATCTGATACTTTAAGCTTGGCCAGAAAGAAGTCAAACTACGTGGGCCCAAGAAGCATAAAAATGAAAATCAATGGAATTAGCAAGAAAATCTGAATACCTTACTGTCCCAGTTATAATGGTAGCCAAGGGTCACCCAGCGCAGTTTCTCTAGCAAACTTCGGGGTCTCCGTTTATTCACTTCTTTACACCTGCAAAATTGGAGACGATTTATTCATTGCAAATGGCAGCAAAAGCATGTTGCATGGATCCCGGAGTCTAAATTTGGTATCTATATAAGCAGTTAGCCAAGATCTCAGGGGAAATTAAAACAGATAAATGAGTTGACCAAGAATGTAATACTACCAAAAATATGCTAGCTATTTTGGGCCCACAAAATATGCTAATTTCTAATCCTTGGCTCTAAATCCTCTGCTGAATGGGATCAAGTTTAAAGGGTGAGTCTCCAGAATATCAATAATGATAAAATGACAACAGAAATGTCTTTTCCTGTCCATGGAAAATGGGACAAAGAGTCCTATGGATAATTGAAAATTTGGCTAACAGAACATTTACAATTTTGTTTGCTGAAAGCAGGACATGATTAATTACAGCTATCATTATGTCTGGAATGATGGTGGCTTCCTAGCATTGCAGTTTGGGTGGAAAAAAGTTTGGCAAAATATAGTATACAATAAAAAATTACTGTTTTTTTTTTTTTTAATTATTGTTTTAACATACCTTCTTTAACCTCACATAAAAACTTAAATACCTGAGGCTTAGCTAACAATTAATGGCCACTTTAACTGATCTGGTTTCTAACATTACCTTATTTAAACCACAGGAGGTTTCTATAAGAAATCTTTCTGTTAATTATAATCTAATCTAATCAAATCTATGGGGTTAACGACTCTTTTTTTTTAAAGCCACACAGCATCGCTTGCAGCATGTTAGTTCCCTGATCAGGGACTGAACCTGAGCCCTCAGCAGGGGAAGCATGGAGTCCTAACCACTGGACCATCAGGGAATTTCTTAACCACTCTTTTTCTAAAGAAGCCTGCTTGCTTGATTTACCTCTAAATATCTAAAAATACAAGAATGCTAGGCCTAATCATTTTAGTTTTTCTATGTAATTTACATCATTAATCAATCTTCTTTTTTTAATCTAAGAACCACTACTCTTTAAAGCAGAAAAGATCGGACTGCTTTAAGGAGTTTATATTTTGACAGGAGATGACAGATAAGTTTAAGAAATGAGGGGAAAATTTAAGGTTGTAGAAAATCTAGCACTAAAATGGATAGCACAAGACCACCAGAATCAGGAGAAGGCAAGTTCAAAGTCAACAGTCTAATCACTTAAGCCTTCATGGTAAAGTTGGGGGGTTGAGTATGGCATTGAAGAACGGCCGGCATTTAACCAAGAAGTGATGCAGTAGGCAATATAGGGAGAGCATGAGCAGAAGTGAAGGACTTGCTGCAGGCTCACAGTGTAAGTGGCACTCATCTTGATGTCTGATAGCTTACAGGGTAGATGCTGTCTGTCCTCGAAGAGTTTACATTCTAAGGACACTGCAACACAGACATACACCAAGAGCAGTGTGTGCTCAGTCGCTCAGTCGTGTCTGACTCTTTGTGGCCCCGTGGACTGCAGCCCGCCAGGCTCCTCTGTCCATGAGGATTCTTCAGGCAAGAACACTGGAGTGGGTTGCCATGCCCTCCTCCAGGGGATCTTCCCAGGGATCAAACCCAGGTCTCCAGCACTGCAGGAGTATTCTTTACCAACTGAGCCACCAGGGAAGCCCCAACACCAAGACCAGTAACTAAATAAAAGAAATGGATCAAATATTAACTTATTTAGCACAAGTGTGAAGAAAAGAGGCCCAGCAGGTCCCACTTCTATCCTTTGAAAAGACTGTATCAGGTTGGCCCTTGGCGACACTCACGGTTCCTAAGGTGTCCCTATAAACAATATAGTTTATGCTGAACACGTGCCTTCCTTCTGGGAGAGTGAATTTTGGCACCTGTCAGGCAGAGATTGCCTATGTACCATCCTTCAGTAAAAATCTGGGCACTGGGCTTCTTCAAACCATGCTGATGCTGCTGATCCAGGGACCATACTTTGAGAAACACTATTCTAGTCAAACACACACACACAACCCTTTATTTCTCTCAGTAAGAGATCATTTTATTCTTGACAAACAACCCAAAACCAGACTGATCTGTACAAATAAAGGTAACAAGGCAGCTCTGAAAATTTGATGGTGTTTTAGACATTTGAGGTGACACCAAAAACCTGCTTTTCATCAAAAGATTGGGTCTAATGTTCTTCAAGAACAGGGTATACGTTATTATAACCAACACATACAGTTTATGATCTTAATAAAATAATCAAAATTCTAGTAACAACCAAGCATGAAGATATAGCTTGTAACATGAACGTTTAAAATTTTTATTTTTCTAGGAAACCAAAAAGAACATCTCTTTCTACCTTAACTGTATCACTATACAAAAGGCTTTGGGTTTTGTCCTATATGAATGTTATAGAGGGGCACTGGTCCAGGATGCAAAAGCAGCCAGAGAAGAGCCATACTTTCACGGGCATTAACTCCAGTTTTCATAACAGAAGGGAAAAAAAAAGCTTATTTTTCTTAGTAAAAGATTAATTCTGAGTGTGCCATTTTGAGGAGAAAATGTGTATATGTGTGTTTATATAATGTAGGTATGAAATTCTACCCCTTATTTCATATCCTCTTTTGAAAACCTGACTCCTATTCTTGCTTTTGTACAGGATTTCTGGAAGGAAAGTAGCAACAATTGCTGTAACAATTGCCTTCAAGATGTGAGAGCAGGACTGGCCTGAGCTAGACATTTCTTTTTTTAGTAGCACCTAGGGACTCTTCTGGGCCCCATGGGCCTCCTGGGTAATAAAGATTCCAAAAAATTCATTTGAACATTGTGACTAGTATAAGGCTCAAACCAGGTTTCACATGCTCCTTGATCTTTTTCAGGCAGAAAATACTAAGGGGTTAATGAAGGGAAGGGTGGGCTGTTCTTTTTTTAAGCCCGACTTGTCCAAAAGGAAGAAGCCAAGAAGGCTAAGTAGTAATGGAGCTGCTTATCCAGCTGAAGGAATGCAGGGAATGTTGCCATCTAACCTAACTTTAAATCTTCACCAATTATCCAGAAGAAGGTTTTCAACCAGGTATGACCCTAATTATTGGTGCTCACTGCAAACAGAAATGTGCTGCCCCTGCCAGCAGAAGATGGATGGGCAAAGCTTGCACCTTCTCCCCTGCTGAATGCCCACTCAGCACTTTGCTCAGTTTCTGTCAGGGGAAAACCTTTATTGTAAGTGTTAGCATTTCTCTCAGCAGTCTCATTCTACAGCACTGCTTTCAACTGAACCCAAGCTGTGTGGAAGTGAACTCCCGTCCTGCTTGCCCACTCTCCATGCAGCGGGTAAGCACTGGTGTTTCTTCTTTCTTGCCTCCAGGGACATTAGTGAACCAAGTTCTAACTTAGGACAGAAATCTGGAAGTTGTTTATGATAGAAAACCTTCAACATCCTATTACAGGTATTGCGTCTTCAATCATTTTAAAAGATTTAGGGACTGTGTCTTTCACCACTCTGAATATCTCCCTCCACAACCACGCTTCGGTCCTTCTTCCTTTCCTAGTCTCTCACCTTCATTAAACCTAACGTTGCATCTCAGGTCCCTAGTACTCCAGTTTTTCAGCATTTGAGTGCTTCCAGTTTTCTCTTCTTAACCTGAATCTCTCAGTAACCAGTGCGAATGGACATCCAATACTACTGTAACACCCTTCTGCTATCTTGCAAATGTTAGTTTTATCTCATCTTCCACTTTCTGTTCTAAACCTTCACCATTTATCTCAAGTCCTCAGTCCTGCCCCTATTCCCTTCCAGGACAAAGAGAATACAGAGGCCCACTCAAAAGATCCAGTGAATGATTTCAACTTCCCTCTCCTACACCTCCATGCTGTTTGAAATCCTTACTCTGTCCTTCCTTCCTGGTTTCAGCAGTGGTCTTATTGCTTTCCATTAAGGCCCATTTTCCACCTACACTGTCTCCCATTTCCTTGATGTAGCTGCTGAGGGCTTTCTCCATTATCATCTTCTCGTATTTCCAACCTTCCTTTTTATTTGTTTCTTCCTCTTGATCCGTAAAAAATGTTCAACATTTCCACAAACTTAAGAAAAAAACCAACAAAAAACACTTTTCACACCTGACCTCTTAGTCAGGCACCCTAAGTCCCGCCTCTGTCTGCTCCATAGCTCTCCTTCTCTCCATGATTAAATCATCCCAAAGGACTCAATATCAGCTGCCCCCACTCTCTCTTCTCATTGAGATCTCACTTTTGCTTACACTCTACAAAAACTAGTTTAGTTTCAATGATACCATTTAATCATTAGATCCTAAGTCCTGGTCCTTGTCTTGTTTTGGAAACACTTTGCTACCTTGGCTTCCAATAGTAATTTTTTTCACCCAGACCTGATGCTTCCCTAGGCTGTTGCCTCTCTGTATGTTTTTCATAAACAAACAAACAAAACGCCGCATCTCTCCCACTGCTGCTTTAGGATGACGGTCTTCCCGTCTAACTCCCATATCCCTCTGTCTCTCACTTGATTCCTGAACCTTGCTCAGCTCTCTATTTCCAAAGGCACAGACAGCTCCATGTGGATACTCCACAGGCGTTTCAAAAACAGTAAGCCCCAAACTACACTAAGGACTATCTTTGCTCACTCTCCTCTTCCTCCAATCTTTTTTCCATTAAAAATCTCAGTATATAATGTTCCAATGAACATGGAGGTACAGATATATTTCTGGGATAGTGATTTTGTTTCCTTTGGATATAAACTTAGAAGGTGAACTGCTGGATCATACAGTAGTTCTATATTCAGCCATTAAAAAGGGAAATCTTGTCATTTGTGACAACATGGAAAAAACTGGATGGCATTATGCTAAGTGGAATAAATCAGGGAAAGACAAATACTATATGATCACAGTTCTATGTGGAATCTAAAAAATCTGATACAGAACAGATTGGTGGTTGCCAGAAGTGGTGGGGTATGTGTGTGTATGTGTGTGTGCGTGTGTATGACACAGGTAAAGGCAGTCAAAAGATAAAAACCTGTCATAGGAAGAGAGCTTCTGGAGGTGTAAAGTACCACATGTGTGCTGAGTCATTATTG